CTATTACTTCTCCCATTCCTGCTGCTGTTATTACTTCTCCCATTCCTGCTGCTTTTTTTACTTCTCCCCTTCCTGCTTCTTTTATTTCTTCTTCCGATCCTGCTTCTTTTTATTACTTCTATTCTATGGACGCATGCTAAACAGTTATTAGTACTTATGAGCGCGCTTCATAAAAAATTATCATAATTCAAGGCAGATGTATAAGAAAGCGTAATGTAGTTCTTAAACATATATCCCCGCTAGCCATCGTTTCAACTTAACAATTCCTTTATATGCACATCAACACTGAGATGAGCTTCTGGTGCCAGCCATGTGTCACGCACACACTCCTGATGAATATATATACCCGAGATATCGCCACTTGCCATATATGACAGCAGTCATTGTCAATTAGGTGCTTGTCGTCTCCAGCTGATGAAATCAATACCACAAATCTGCCACGCGACATTAATTGAACCCCTGTGAATGATTTAGTTATAATTTACCCCCTGACCATACCGTGGTGATTTGTAAGATGGAATGAAGATCCGTTAAGCGGAATATTCTGACACTAATAATGTTTTTGTATGAAATTTAAAATATTCAAGATTTGTTTTTCCCTTGAAAAAATATTAATGGCGTTCTGACTGTTGGAAAGATATGCAAGGCTTGCGCTAACCGGATTAGAGAAATTCAGTGGCACACATGCATTTTAACCAGAGTGAAATGATTGTCGTGACGCACTTTCGAATTAAAGTGATTTGAATGTAAGATTTAATATTTTAATACTGTCCTTCCTACATTGAATTTTATGCCCAGGTTGAGAGTAGGGCCAACGGTGCAATTGAGAAATCACTGTAAAGAGAATATATACACAATTCATTTGTTCACATCTTTTGGCCAGATCATTGTTCATCGGCATCTTTGACAACATCATCACTTGAAATCTCACCCATGGTGTTCGCTAGTTGATCGATAAATATACTTCTTTACCCCAATCAAAATACCACATGATAACCCGACTCATTTTTGAAGATATATGTGACATCAACGTTGAACTCATAAAAGGAAATCCTTCGGAACATTGTAACATTTTATGCCATGCACGTTTCAATTCCGCTTACCGTCGTGTTTAGTTTGTGCTGGCAGTGCTGGGAAAGTGATGATGTTTTATCACAGTGAGGCCTTAATATAGCTCCACATCACTCTGTACTCACCGAAGCAAAATATTCCCTTGAATTTTTCTGATGGACTAATTCTGATTAAATGTAGAACCTTTCTTGCCACGATGTTTGTTCAATGCCACTAATTCCCCAAGGGAACTGGAGGCTGAGATCAGAACAGCTCCAAAGACAAGAGATCATATCATTGAAACTGAACAACGTTTCGCTTTTCAGTTCCCTGGTTGATACAATTGTGAATCTCCTAGAACAGAACAGCCTTTTCGTTGGAGATTTCTAATCATTTTCCCCATCCGAAACAGTTCAGGTAGCCCTGAATGGGTTGTACAAATTGAGAGGATAGGTGATGGGATGGTAGTTTCCACTCTCTCCCCAGTGCCCTGGGGCACTATCGTCATCGTGTGTTAGCCATAACTAGCAGTTCATCTTGGATTGGAATACTTTTGACAATTGGATGTGTGTTATGAGCTTTTGTAGACTCCCAGTACATAAAAAATGTCGTGGCATGTCAAAAGGATTGAAAACGTCATATCAATTTCTGTGTTTTATCAGTGGGTTTCAGTCCTCAATCTGGTTGCAAGAAACACGGTATCAAAAGGCAGCTGAGGTACCTCATCTAGACTTCGCATCGGCTTTTCGATTCGTATCTCTATCAACCGAAACAATTAGATAGTCAATCCTTAATATTAAATTTCACAACAAAAGAACATGTTCTCAACAAATGTTTAATGACAAACAAGCATTTACATGAAAACAGGTACGATAAACATTGCTGGTATAGGAATACAATTTCTGGCGTGACGTGAAACAGATGACTGCATACTTTATTGACATAAACTGATACGCCCCCAAAGGCATTAGCCAATCATCGCAAATTAGAATTAAACAAACTCATGAAGCTTGTCAATCACGACTTATATACAAGGGGAGACAATTCCCAAATATAAACTTAGATTAATTGCCCATTCGTTATTTACAGATCACGGGCATGACTATCACGTGCAGACATTTCAGTGTTTATCCTTCTCATATTTCATCTAAAAGCTATGTTATTTCACACTTTAGTATACGCTCGGACGAACATGATTTTCGATAGTTATGTGGGTCGCTATCGTCATAAACAATATTTCTGCACCTGCAATCTGCAATGCGTTCTTCGTGTTTTCGAAGTGTCGATTTGAATCGCTAAGTTTAACAAAATGAATGACAACGTTTGAACGTAAAGCAGATTATGTACTTGAAACAGACCCTCTCTTAACAAGTATGTTCAGGGACAACAGTAATTAAAACTACTAAGTTTGGCCCGGACCAATTGTAAATTTCGATTGTAGCATACCACCATTGATCTCAGCCCACAATCGGTTTGTGCAAATGTATGGCGATTGTAGCCGGAACCTAAGGATGCGATCGTATGGATGAATAATACGTGTGACGTAAGATCGTTTCGTACACGTGGGTACTGAAGGAAGGCAGCAAGGGAATCCCTCAACTTGCATTGGCATTCTGGTGACAGTGGTACATCTCAGTACGCGGCTCTAACTTGTTTTCATTAGTTGGAAATCAATGCAAAATAAATTGACTCATTCAGCCAATCAGATTTGCCGGAATTACAAAGAACAAAAAATCTAGTTTATATTACATCAAGATATCATTTCATCTGCATTTAAGTATTTTGGTTTGATTGGTTTGTTGTTAAGTAACTTTATGGAAAGAAAAAGGAAACACATGGTAACATTTCTACATGATATATGTTAAATGATGGGCCCAATTTTGTTCATGAAAATCACATTGACTACTGACGTCAACATTAATTGGCTATGTTTAGATCATGTTCCGTTTGGCGATGTGGTGTCCCAATGGCCAAACTGTTGACCGCGTGAGTAGACAATTTAGAATAGGTCCCTAGAACTACATGTCTGTCGTGAGAGCGAAAATAATTGATCGGGTGTTCTGGCTTGGTGAGGTTCTACAAGCCCACCTGATAAAGCTTTGGATATCGCTGTGCCATCAATCAAACAAACAAACAAACAAAGAAATCAAAGGCGTTGTCGTGGTGCAAGGTATGAAGTCCATGCTTGGTGTTTCTCCTCGTGATATGACTGGAAGATTGCTCAAGTCCGCATATTCCCATACTCTATTATTTACAAGTATATTTTCCGTTGTATTTTTCCATACTATTTGTATTTGTAAATATGTAAGTACGAATACATGGGCAGTATGGTTGTCGAGTGGATTTATTAAAGCTCAACCTAAAACTCGTTAATCTTTTTTTGCGAGCCAGTCCGCATCTGACATTAAATCAATCGAGGGTTTCATCTGGATGGTATTTGTAATGAACGAGAAAATCCTGAAACTGTAATAAAAAGACCGTTTCAACATCTGAATAACCCGTTGCAGTGACGAATGGTCTGATTGTGAAAAACACACTCTGGGAGTTGACAAAAAGGATTTATAACTTTAATAAACATAACGTCCACCCTTGACACCTAGACACGTTGATATGATTGAAATGGATGCAATATTGCAACTCTCTCCTTGACTCGGGGTATGATGCAGCGACATTAGACAATGGACGTATTTTGAAACAGTCAGAGAATTGTGTCATGGACCTTCTATCATCTTAAATATTAAACCTTCAGTGAATAGTGTGCAATACGAACTGCCTCGTCGAACCGACACCACAGTCATTCTCCGTTGACATTCATGTTAAAGCTGGTGCTATTTGTATTAGCAAAATACTGTACGAAGACAAATGCCAAGGTGTGTCCACAGCAATTACTGCCACTGCGCGAGAAACATTAAGGGATGCTGTGTGTGAGAGGTTGTATGTTAGACTGTTGAGATTGGTGTTTGAGGATGGCGTTGTGGTTGTGGTTGTGGTTGTGGTTGTGGTTGAACTTGAGATTTGGGTCAGGGAGACGGTTTTTCATGAATCAAAGATCCAGTTGTGCACCTGGGTTTATGTATTTGTGATTGTGTGTTTCTGATTATACAAAGGTATGTTTTTGTGTCTATGTTTCTGTGTATCTGAATATATAAGTGTCTGTGTGTCGGTATTTCTATTGTGTCCGTGTGTCTGTGTCCGTACATGTGTGTCCGCATGTCCGCATGTCAGGATATTTCTGTTAGACTGTGTGATGGTTTCTGTGTGATGGTATTCTGTGTCTGCATGTTTGTGTCACTGTATATATATAACATGAGACGTCCATGCCATATTCTGCTTTCTTACCAGTAACATGATTATCAATGTCATTGTGGTAAACATCTAGTTTTTTCTTTCCTGTATATTTCTTATGTGATTTTATTGTTGCCTGCGATCACAATAAGGGATTTACGTAATGGAAAATGTGTATTACGATGTAATGCGTTTCCGCCATCCATCTTAATATGGCCCGTGAAGATCCGGGGTAGAATAGGTCTTCAGCAACCCATGCTTGCCGTAAAATGCGACTCTGCTTGTCGTAAAAGAGGACTAAGAGGGTCGGGTGGTCAGCCTCGCTGACTTGGTTGATGCATGTCATTGATCCCAATTGCGTGGATCGATGCTCTTGATGTCAATCACTGGATTGTCTGGTCAAGACTCGATTATCAGACCGCGGTCATATAGCTGGACTATTGCTGAGTGCGGCGTTAAACAACAAGCCAACCAACCAACCAACCATCTTAATATCCAACATTGGAGTCTGCTTTACAAATTCCAAACAACTTCCATGACGGTGAAAGAGTGTGGCGGATGCGTCATAACTGTACAATGAAAAAATCACATTGAACACTCTTCATGCATACTGATAATCATGTTTATTTAATACTTGTTCTAAAATGTAACGTTTGTCTACACAGTTGTCGATACTTGAGGAAGAATTCATCTACGCGGCAGAGTTCGGCGATATTCCAACTGTGCAGCGTATTTTGGAAGAGAATACCAACTTGAGCGTGGACTACAGCGATATTCTAGGCAGGACGCCACTCAGACTAGCTGTCGGTAACGAACATTTAGAGGTGGGTCCGTCCTCCAGACATAAGCGTGGTGACACATTCGATGGCTCTCAACTTCATGTAAAAGGACAAATCAAATCATAGGCTTCTCTATCATGCTCGCCAAGTGCTTTATGGCTCGTATGTCAGCCCCAACCAGGTATAGTTATCACCAAATTCTGTAGTTTGATTCATCAAATGGGCTGTTACACAGCTTACTTCCCCCAACATTCGGATTGACTGAAGGGTCTATGTTTCTGTGACTGAAGGGCTTTCATCCTGATGACTGTGTTATGATAATTGACACTGTTCTTGAATTGATGAAAGACTGTCGTGGAAATAGCTCTGAAGTTAAACTAACTCAAATGTATAGATGTCTGAAAGACAAGGAATATATTTACAGGGCATTGGTCCCATAGATCTCAAACTATCACGTTTTTGTGTAATAGAATAAGGTTTAATATGTAATATGTTGAGAAGCGTTATGAAGTGAGACCCAAGCTTTCATCTCGCCTCTATTGTCGAAGAGCTCTAACAGCGGAACATTTTCATAGTATTTGATAAACGTATCTAATGAGTAAGAGAATGACACTTTTGAGCCAAATGAAAAATGGCATTTAGATATGTCCGAGAACTCTATCAAATTCCACGATACTGAGTTCTGTTTAAGATTTTGAGTAACATGTCTTTAGGATATAATCGACATTATACAAATCCAATACGACACTTATATAGTATGTTATGATCGTAAAAGAAGAATTCTAGCATGATATTCACATAACCGGTGGCTAAGATAATACTTAACTTCAGAGAACGTAAGATTTAAAACAACTTTGTACTCTGTCTAATAACAAATATGTCTTGTCTGATTTCCAGCAAAGATAAAGTTTATTTCAATGCAAATTTCTGTCAGCAATTACGAAAACAGATTTCATAGTTGTTTCTCTGGGGCCAAGCAAGGTCATGGTGACTGTACGTGTGTTTCTTTTGTGAAAAACATGTGATGTGTTTGAGAATGTTTGACTAAATGTAATGTAACTTGGATATTCTTGGGAAGCACTTAATTACATTTCTGGCATTAATACAAAGACCTTTGTGGTAGGCTACGAAGCGATTTTCTCTTTAACTTCAGTGTTCCCGGAAACCATGTAACTGCCTAGGTTGGTTGACGTATTCTCAGGTCATAGTTGCCTAGTTTCACCAAAGTGGTAAACGTCTAAGACCTGCATCACCTCGGGCTTTGCTCCCACATTAAGCTGACACGCCGCGATATAACTGGAATACTGTTAAACAGCGGCGTTAAACCCAACTCACTCACTCACTCATAGTTGCCTATGCTACTTACCTTATGTAAGTGTGTAATCTTCTTGAAGATTAAATAATTGACCAGACTCTTAATGTATCACGCGGGACATATAAAAGATGGAGGCTAATCCCCAATTAGCCAGACGTTTACCATTATACTAAACATAATGGATGGCAACGTGGAAATGTTATGTAAGACGAACCTATTGGGCTTAGCGGTACCCAGGGTGAAAACATCTGCTCCAGGTCATTTGGCTGGGTCCACGTATTTATCCCATTGACTCTCCTGCTGAACGGTACGTGTCTGTGACGTCTCTTCAACAGAAGGAACGAGGAGACAGATGTCTTGCCTCATGGCTTAACGAGGCTTATACCCTCACTGTCCCATGACTCCCCTGTACGTCCCCGAAGCATCCAATTGCCTCATATGTCCTGTGAAAATACACATAGTTTCCTATTGCCCAATATCTCCTGTGAAAGTAAACGTAGCTTCCCATTGCCTCATGTCTCATGTGAAAGTGCATGTAACAACACCCTGTGCCCTGTGCAACTACAAGTACCACACTTACTCGTTTTCTCTCGCTCTACACACTCACTGCAACCAACAACTATCTCCATCTAGTCAAACCTGAACCCTAGGTACATACACTGCAGTTGCACCTCTGTTTAAGTAGTCCCTGCATAAATGTAATTTAAATTCAGATTCAGTCAATAAGTACAAGTTCTATATTTCAGGTCGTGGAGTTTCTTCTCGACCGGTGCAACAACTCCAGTATCCACGAAGCTCTCCTGCAAGCTATCAGTGCCGGACATGAACAGATAGCTGAAACTATCCTCAAACACCCCAAATACAGAGACGTGAAGAAGGAGAACAAGAGATTCGGAGAAACGGACTACTTTTACAACCAAACCAGTGAAGATTCGCCGTTTTCCTCTGACATCACCCCGCTTATTTTGGCGGCAGAAAGGAATCAGTTTGAGATCGTGCAGCTGTTGTTATTACGAGGGGAAACTATTACCAAACCACACCATTATTACTGCAACTGTCAAGAATGTAGCAATAAGCTACAGTTCGACCAACTTAGGTTGGCCAAGACAAGACTGAATGCTTACAAAGGGCTGGCAAGTGGGGCGTATATATCACTGTCCAGTAAGGACCCTATTCTAACTGCATTTGAGCTGGCCAAAGAACTCAGATCCGTCGCCAAAGTGGAAAAATATTATAAGGTAAGTACTCTACTCCCAAAAAGAAAAGTCCCTTTAATCGTGGCTTGATCTCGAAATTTCTTTGGGCACTTCAAGTCAAAACAGCTCCATGGTCGCTACCGGGCAGCGACATTGTCCCGTTCTGTCCGTGATCGATCGTTTGTTGAAATAGTTGTAAACATATTTTAGTGAAAATGTGCAAAATGTTGTTAAAAAGTTCAAAATCACTGCACACAAGGATATAGTTTTCCACATTATTGATTTGTCCACTGATATCATTATACCATCGAATATTTTGTATGTGTATTGTCATTATAAGATAGTCTAACGTCATCAATACCCGTTATTTAAGTGGCTGTGGTAAGGAAAATTCCCAAATTATTGAATCGTCATTGATGTGACGACGGGGTGCATCAACCAGGAGGCTACATCACCATCCCCATCTTATCAGAGGTCAGATACATCGAAACACATCCAAGCACCAAACCCTTGATGCTTGTCCTGATCAATCTGGTTCATAGCTCATAGTGAGCGTTGCATGAGTGATATAAGGCATCTTTGATTGACTGTCGATAACATGAGAAGACGCGTTGGCATGTTTCACCGCCTAAAAACGGAATATTACTTCGCACTCGCACAGCTCTACATGCCACTGACACGGTATGTTCTTCGAATGAGGGCACATAACCCGGTCCAGTAGAGTCTTGGTAACGTCATATTTGCTTTGGTCTTCAACACGCGTTGGCGCACCATATCAAGCGACATGAGGTCATGCATTGGCTCATCAGAGCGGAATTCCCCTGCGTGGAAGCTGACGGAGGAAGTAGGTGTATGGCTGACACAATCACATGTATGGAAAGACGCGAATTGAGATCATCTTATGACTGTGTTCATTTCTGTAGTAGAAAGGTACATCATGAATATGTTTATTTGTATGAATCGTGAATTCAAACAAAGAAAAGAGGTTTACAAAGTCGACAAGACTGCAAGAGTTGACAAGACTATTTCTAATCTCTAATTTTAATGTCATATTTACCTAGTCTGCAACAAATTATTTGTTCGGAGAATTCCTTCCTAGAACATCATTAACGGCGCACGTTGAAATGACAACATTGATTGTTTTTCGAAGATTGAAAGACTTAGATATTTCTACTTGGCAGATAATACCCCATCAACATATGGAATATCACTGATTGGGTATTATCGATTTTAGGTTTTAGGTCTCATGCGTTTGTTTTGTCTTAGCGAGAATATCTTTTGCAAGCCATGTGGAGACAAGAAATGATCTTAAATAGCTTTTTATGGTAATCTGATCCGGATCCTAATCAGAAAAAATATCTTAATCCTAAAAATACAGGCATTGACTCAAGAGAATGTTTGGTCTTACTGATATAATATGCTATTTATCCTATTTGTGTATTCATGGTGCTGATGTGGGACAGTGGTATATACCGCACTGTCTTGTTGATGTAAATGGAGGAGAAAGGATTGTCTCAGTTTGTGGCAGCGAGTCGACATTATCGACCAATGAAGAAATCATGTAAAGTAGAACCATCTTATGCACCACATAAATAACATTATGAATGTGAAGCGTACATATTTGATAACAAACCTAATACAAATCCAATTAGAGGCCCTGCTGTCCCAATAGACAGGTGTCCACATATAAATTTGGGCAATGATGAGACCAGCGGAAACACTGAATAGTAAGTAATGGTCCTGATATCGGTATCGCTCGGTGACATATGGATCCGTCTGGCTAACGCGTCTTTAGCCTCGATGTGTAATTCTAATGTATGGACAAACGTCTTGATGACATCCAACTTAACACATTGATCTCGTCGAAGGAGCGGGTCAAGGCGTCGAGACGAGTCTGTGGAGGTAGTGTCCGCACCCTGGCCGCTTCTATATTTAGATACATCCGTTCACGGCTAAGTTGCTTTCAAATATACTCTCATACGACGAATTTGGATCTAGTGGTTTTGTTTGTTTGTTAATATCAGAATAGATAATATGACCATTGAATGTTTTCTTCTTGTCAATATATATTCATCAGTAACCACTGTAGTTGAGGTAGTGCTTGAGGATGTAGTGCTTGTCTGGTACTTATAAGTAGCAACGGGGATAGTTGCCGTAGTAGCTGAGGTTGATGCAGAAACCGAAGTAGCACTGGTTGTTATAAGTAGCAGCAGCTATAGTCGTCATGGTTATTTGAGGTAGTAGTAGCAGCGGCCGTAGTAGCCGTGGTGGCTACAGTCCTGGTAGAAGAAGCAGCGGACGAGCCCCAGTGAGCAGCCTGGCCTGGTGGCGATATAGCGCCACTACGGTACCAGTAGCAGTACTCCACTTGATGTACAAGTGGAGCTCTGTCATCAAATTTAAACCTGTTTCTCATGCACTCTCTAAAGGAAACATTTGTTACTTCAGATATTATTCTGCTAAAATCCAGTTTAATCATGAATATGATATCTTCAAGTATGAATGTCCATACAGCATTAAAATCACATTTTTACAATATAAATTGCACTCTCTCTAAAATCCGTTAGTAAAATTTCAGATGAATGTCCTGTGGCACTGCTATCGGGAACTTTCGGGTTAAGAACTATAAATACTTTAATCCGCTTGAAAAGTAACTGCTGCTTAATCCGGTAATAGAAAAAGGAAAGAAAGTATTTTTATACGCTGATTAAATTGCAGTTACACAAAACGTTGTGGAATTGAATTCGCTTAACGAGGAAATGAGAGGAATGAACGTATTGAGAGGGATGAAAAAATATAGTTCTTTAATTTTATCATTTAAATTGAGTTGTCAATTTCAGAAACTTTTTGGGTTGGTTGTCAATATGGTTCAGTTTGAGTAGCAGCTACATGTACAAAAAAAACCCTGCCAAAATCAAAATAGGCATGTGGAGATTCCAAAGAGCAAATGCTTATTTTGGTGCGTTCGTAACTAGAAATGGGCAAAATCGTGCTAAATGAATTTTAGGAGTATTTGTTTCTTTGTACTTATTTCTTCCAATATGGCCGCCAAACTGGTCACGATGAAAGAAACGGTTGTATTAGGTTAATATTCCATCCTTAGAAACGTGATGGTCTAATAAGCGTATTCACTTTGGTCAGCCACATTCTCAAGTCAGACAACGCTAAACAAGACATACGTATTTAATAACAAACTCCAATCTTTTTATATTCGCAGTTGAACCTGTTTATGTACCATAAACCCTTCGTCACAAGAGCCCCTCAAGTCTAAGCCCTTCTCCTCCCAAAAATCAGGCTACGAAGTGATAACATCCTTCATTGAATGATAAATCACCTACGGTCAGAGCTGGAATTGCCTAATCCACGAATGAACCTTCAGTCTGTGTAATATGACTGCGCATGACCGCACCACGCCAATATTTCCACAGCTAATGACTCCTTCGTCCAGAGACTGCTCAGACGGAAATAAGTCCGCCATTTTTATACACGTCTATCTTTTAGGGTCATCTGAATCAAGTGAATCGGAAAATCGTGACTTGGTTTTCTCCCCAGGGTGTACGACCCGTTTGATTCCTTCTACATCCGGGATTCTTTGAAATGTACTTTTGCTATGCTCATGTAGGAAACGTGAGGAAATTTTTGATATAAAACGTCTCTGTAATTTAACACATACAGCTAGAAGCTTATCAAGGTGAAACTATAGGCCGACCACTTAGCTTCACCTTTTCGGAAACAATAAGGACACACTTGTATTTCGATATATAAGATGATCAGAAGACGGAATATTACTTTTCGCTTCTACAATATTCTAATCATTTTAGCGATTATCTGTGATATGTGTTAAATGCACATGCAGTTTTGACACCTTTTTGTCCCTGAGTGGCAGATGAATCATATAGTAAGACACAAACCATTTTTCCCGTGGGGATTCGGGGGCAAAATAAGTGCCTAGACATACATCCTTTTTGTGAAGACCGTCTGAAATCTGTTGGGTCCTATAGAGAAGCTGAAATATGGCTTTACTATGATAAATCTTTTAACTTTCAAGCACATGTGTCATATCAGGTAGGGGATGAAATGTGGTTGATAACTCAACAAAAATAGTCTCATGTAAAGAATCAAATCCATTGGATACTCTCGTTTGTCAAGAGCTCTCCGAGAACAGTTTTAGAAATGTAGTGAAACTTCAACAAGTACCTAAATGTGGTGAAATAGTAGCTGCAAATTGACCAATTTGGCCAAGCACATGTGAATCCCAGCTAATGTGAATCCCAGCTAATCCCAATGTAAATGGTGGCCTCGCAACAAGAAGTCTCTCCCGATATCAGGCGAACACCCGCTGTATGAGTCTGCCTCTCTCAACTCATCAAATTATCATATGTGGTTTATAAACAAGTGGGCCCCTTACAAATATGCCAAAAGCATGTATATTATTGAAGCGTTATGGTCTGTATCGATTGCTGTCCTTGCTTCTGCATAATAGTAATTGAATCACATGAAGCTGTTCTTGTCATGTTTTCACGGCATTCAGTGATGATTTTGTTGTTGATGTTATAAGTTTGTTTACAGGTTAAATGGGGCTGGAGTAGGGAGAGGCAGGAAATGAAAATCATGTCTTACGTCAGATGATATATCATTATTTTAATAATATTTATTTGTTGTCATAGTTGAATGCAATATGTGTTTAATACACCACTTTATACCTCCTAACACCGTCAAACATCCATACAAATCCGTCCATCACTTATATTCACTCAGCCCAGGTGTTCGTTACCGGGCAAAACAATGTACCACCCAACACAAGACAGCGCACCCGAAACAATTATGTATCTCCCCTCTTGATACTATCGAAAAGCACCAGAAAAGCACATAACACAGCATTACAAAACATCACCCGGCATTAACTAACAGCACTCAATTTTACACAATAACTCCATACACCGCCCCAACGTTACACAACACCTCCGCACACCACTCAACTTTACACAACACCTACGTGCACCACTCAACTTTACACAACACCTCGTACACCACTCACTTTTACACAACACCTCCGCACACCACTCAACTTTACACAACACCTTCGTACACCACTCAACTTTACACAACACCTCCGTACACCACTCAACTTTACACAACACCTCCGTACACCACTCAACTTTACACAACACCTCCGCACACCACTCAACTTTACACAACACCTCCGTACACCACTCAACTTTACACAACACCTCCGTACACCACTCAACTTTACACAACACCTCCGTACACCACTCAACTTTACACAACATCTCCGCACACCACTCAACTTTACACAACACCTCCGCACACCACTCATCTTTACACAACACCTCTGGACATCATTCAACGCCACAAGCACGACTCAACACGTTCCCATATCACCCAACACCGCTCTAAATCGTCTTCATGTTGCCCCTAGCTAGTATTAAATATGACGTAACAGAAGGTTTCCGGAAATCCACCGAATTCATATACAGTCACACTTCATTATATCAACAATAATCACGTGTATAACAGTCAAACCGATATCTTACACCGCAACATCGAAACAAGTCATGACTATCTTAGCTAGGAATCTCCGCAGCAACCCTCCACAACCCGGGCAGTGTTTCAGGAAGAAATGCTCATCAAGATAGCCGGACCGTCCGATCAGCTGGTCAATAAGCTAGCCCTGTCTACCTAAATAGGTCCTCTAGCATAGGATAAGATGAAGTGCCTGACTGAACGTTATGGGTCCAACCTATTCCGGCGGCCGGGTCAAGCCAGTCGAGCCTCCGGATGCCAGATGAATGTCTTTGTGTTATCTGATGTCGACAGATCACCAGTGTCTGGTGTCACAAATGACAGTATCGGCCAATCAATGGTTGGCTACAGATCTGCGGTCTACATAAACGATGTTTTGGTAGAGTTTACACTTGGTTAGACCGCCATGGTAATTAATGGACGCACCGTTGGTTTGATGTTGGTTTGTCTGATTCATGCGTCTTATCGGCATCGGTCATCCTTGGGAACGTCATTGTTGTGTTGTTTATGTCCCAGGTTGGCAATGGTGCGTGATGCTGATTACATTGCCACTTGGCGACGGGGCCTACGTATGACGACAACACATCATGTTCTCATAACTCTACGTTTACGATGAAATATGACGTCACGTGTTTCGGTAACTGTAGGTTAGATACCCTGCGTGTAGCGATACTACGAAGACAAACCATAAAAAAAGTATCTGTTCTGATTTATTTATACAGAAAACTTCTGTTTGTTTCATGGTGTGGACTAGCTTGCTTTAAAAATCGGTCATCCTTTTCCACACAGAAAACTGCTTGCCAAGATAAACGTGTTATATTTGTGCCTCTTTGGGTCATTAACCTCTCAAATCCTTGTGCATCTGGGAAATGAAAAGAGCAAGGGATTTGAACATTGCGTGTGTATAATGCGCCAACAGTTCCAGTTTGCATGTGAATTTGAACAAATGTTTTTTTCATTGATATATATATATATATATTATGAATGTTAATAAGCTTACGAGGCCTATCCCCTGTCTTTAGCAAGCAATATACAGTTTAATTAAGTCGAAATAAGAACGAATTAGGCCTTTGAAAGGGCATGGTGTTTGGAGTTGGAGTTGTATATATTGTATGCACTTTGAAAAAAACCCTAGTGACTTCTACTGAATTAATTAATAACTGCAGCCGGAAGGCTAATATACAGCGAATTTATCATCCTGTCTGGTAGATTGCACGAATATGCTGAAGATTAGTAAATATCACTTATTAAATTAGTATAATTCTTAAACCACACTGCAGAAAATGTGGAAATACCTAAACGGTATGCTCATTTCGTGTGTTCTATCAAAACATGTTTAGGGTCTTAACACATGAAGTGAGCTGTCGCCTTATAGTCTAAGCACCACCTAAACACATCAACCCCATAATCCAAACATGTTTATTATTTAAACACCTACAAACATGTTTAGAATATAAACACATTCAAATATAATTAGACTTTAAACACTTAAAACATAAATAAAAAAGTGCATATCATGAGGCTATAAGTCAACGAACGTAGTACAATATTAACATAACAATGGGTAAGTGTGGCACGGGCGGCCCAGTCGTCTTAGGCGCCGCGATTCGCTGTTCAGAGTTGCGTCCCTTAGGCGCGCCAGAAACCTATGATTGTAGGTTCGAATCCCGGTTCGCCCCGATTATGTTTCTAGGTTTGTCAGCTCGTGGGTAAACGTCTGAGACCTGCACAACTTCGGGCTTTCCTCCCATATTAAGCTGACATACCGTGATATTACAGGAATAATGTTAAAAGCGGCGTTAAACCCAACTCACTCACTCACTCACTCACTCACTCACTCATTAAAATGTAATAAATAAACCAAGCTCAGTTAATGATGACTAGAAACATTGACACTCGTAACGACAACAGTCAAGCACAAATGGTAGCATGATACACCAGAAATCAAAGGATTGCAGGTTCGAATCCCATCGAGTCTTACACCCCTTTGAGTGTTCATGATTGTTTTGTAGCACTATACCTAATAGTATTTATCTCCATACAGGAAACTGACAATGAAAGTATACGTGATTACTAGTTAATATCTTTTTGGTAAGTGACGATAGGTCGCCTAGTAAAGAGATCTACTAAGTCGACTTACATGTTAGTGTCTGAGTGGACTGTGAAATTCACGAATTAAGTTAGTAAACTTTTCAAACTATTTCTGTTGTTGATGTGACTCTCAGAATTGCAGGAATATTTCAGTTTAATATATTTCGTTGTAATTCCCCAAGTCGTCCTGACGGCACATTATTGTTCTTCTGCCACTGTTTGGGTTTGATATATCACAGTTTGGGTTTGACGATTTACGAACTTGTCATTAAATTCCCTTAATATTATTGTGTGCAATAAATGTATGCATGCGTTTGCATGCCCGAGTACTTCACGCGTTACATGAATCTATTGGTTAGGATGTTACAAGAATGTTGGCATTTTACAGACGGAGTACCTGTCCATGGCTGACCAGCTCAGTCATTATGTGGTCAAGCTCCTGGACAAGGTCCGAGGTCACGATGAGCTGGAGGTTCTTCTGAACAAGGTCGGACCAGACAGCGAGGACGAATCGTATGAGTTGCTGTCTCGGCTGAAGCTGGCCATACAGTACAATGAGAAGAAGGTGAGATAGATGGACGTATCCTCCACATCTTAGGAGAAATATAAACATGTGAATATGTCCAGATCGAAAACGATTTGTTCGTAACGTCCACCACCATGTCTTCCAAGACCCCGACCGGTTTTCTTCACTTTCGATGAAACAAAAAAGATCCATCTTTGGAGAGCAGCGGTTAAAGGGGAGATTGTTATAACGTTTTTAGAAATGAAGTGTGCAGTGTATATCCAACTGCGCTCATTGGCAGACGTTTTCACGGGTCGTGTTAGGCCCAAAGTAGCGACTTGTAGAACAGCTGTTATTAAACGAAAGAAAGAAAAAGAAGGAAGGGGTATATACAGGAACCAAAGCTAGAAAAAAAGTTTGCCGCTATAAAATGGTTTCACGTTTGCTCATTAAAAAAACATGTGTCAGTTCTCCATACTATGCAATGCGAATGCAAATGTCAGGCTGGCTACGCGATGCGGTGACGTACGTGAATGTGCATACCCGTGAAGATCCGGGTTAGAATAGGTCTCTCCAACTGCGTGGATCGATGCTCGAGATGTGAATCACTGGATTGTCTGGTCTATTTACAGACCGCCGTCATACAGCTTGAATATTGCTGAGTGCGGCGGTAAACAACAAACAAACAACAACATTATGAATGAAAGAGAAACCTATCCCAATTCATCTTGACAATGTTTCGTGCATTCTGTTTAGTTCTTATGGTCTTGTTGTTCTTATAACTATAAAAGCAATGAACAATTTTCAAGTTTAGTTGTTCGTGGCTTAAACGATCCAATTGTCAAGACAGTTGGCATGGTAACCATGAAACTACTAAATGCCGCTCACATCACTGACTTGGTTGGATGCCGTCTCTCTCTGGGGTATTAGAAAGAAATATAGTCATATAAAACTCCAAGGGAAGCTTAAGATGAGGCTCGTTATACATCTCAGTAAGACATCTGTTTGCTGTCAGATCTACACTGTAAATGGCACGCTATAGGAGATATGTAACTTCAGTGTTCAGGTGTACAGTGGTGTCTTTTGTATTTCCTCGCGTTTGCTCGTAAGACAAGGGGGTTAATACATGGAGAGATATATTCACACTATTCTGCAACATATGTGTATTATTAACGTTGTGGTACAGTAACTGCAGTCTACCTAGACTAACACTGGGTCTGTCCCTAGATTCCAAGTATTTGTGACATATTTTAGGCCCACTACCTCGCTGAAATATATGCCATGTTGTTACAAGCTACTTCTTTGTTCAAAGCGCTACTTTTCATAACGTGACGGCCTCCGTGGTTTAGTTGTAGAGCATCCGCCCAGAGAGCGAAGGCTCCGGTTTTCGATCCCCGGCCGCGTCATACCAAAAGACGTTAAGAGATGGTAGTTGTTGATCCCCTTTCTGGCGCTCGGCATTAACAAGGGTTGGAGTCAGTATACTGTGTATGAGGGGGCTATTCATGTTAAAGCGCGGCATGGTATCTCATCATTAGTCCGGACTTGTACAAGCAGCCTCACACACACGTGGATACATGTCGCTATAGAAGTTAACGCGACGTTAAACCCCATTTTACCTCACCTCAGCTTATCGTAACGTAACAGATTTGAGTACACATATACACTCACATGTGGCGTTCTCGTTTCCAGGCGACAGCGTTACGATTGTGTCATAGTTGAAATGAAACCTGTTTCAAAAAGACTAGTTTATGACCGCATTTGCGCTGTGATATCTTTCTTATCTTTTGATACGTTTTTAATTGTTTTTCTGGTTCAAATACAATTTCAGATCAGAAAAGACGTTAAAAGTGGTCAATCATTATCACAAATTGTGTTCCATATAATTATAATAAATTATTATTAATGAATGTTTCAGTTCGTGGCGCATCCCAGTTGCCAGCAGAGGCTGGTTAGCATCTGGTACTCGGACCTGCGGACTCTTGAGAGAGCCAACTGGTTCCTCCGGGGGATCATCGTTTTGTGCATTACTGTATTTTACCCTGTCCTAGCAATACTCTACTGGTTCGCCCCTAAAACACGGGTGAGTAATTAACACCTTGCTATTTAGGTACTGCCGATATGTTAGTGCTGATACGATTTGATGTGATCAGTTTACGCCTAAAATAATATGTACGTCTCTTTCCGTGAGTATTGTTTTACGAAAACCTGATGTCATCACTGATTTCAGGGATCCATTCATATAATTTTCACCGCTATTTTGCCTTTTACGCCCAAAGAAATCTGTTTCGGTGGATAATTCAGACTTGTATTCTCTGACTTATACATTTTGAAATTTGAGGTATTATAACTGAACATTAGATCTCTTGTTTATACATTTGAAACCTGGCGCTGTTTTAAATTGATATAAGAGGTATCTAATCTACAGTTAAACTACTTCAAATTCCAAAACACAGTAGGTTTGACTAGATGCATTCCCGGTACCGCGGTACCGAATACCATGTAATTTGTCATTCAAGTTGCTATTGCGGGCAAATTACTTACTTGTTCCCTGCAATAGCTATCCTTCAAGCAGGTTTTCTTTACCAACATTACGTTTCCCAGTCGTTATTTCTTTAAGGACATTACATTACCTTCGTGCAATTAATACTAGCACATAGCTCGGGCGACGTCGTGATATCATTATCCGGGTCTGAGGCGTGTCTGCTTTTTATGTATCTTAATTATAAATGAGAAGGGGTACTCGTCAGAGGCATTAAGAGTATGTGATTTAATGTAAATGTTTGATCCAGATGACTTAAGCTAGTTTCTTTTGTTTCAAATAACATTGGAACGAATAGACAAGCACGTCAGAAGACGTAAGTAATCGTCTAGGCACTCACAAACACGTAATTTGAATTACGATAGCATGCTTGTGATTTGCACGAGATACATTGCACATTACCAAAGCAGAGTCTGATACAGAAAACTATGCATTGAAACTCCGTACCCAATACCCGCCTTCAAGACGATTCCTTCAGGACTATCTTATAGAATATAAACATGATATGTATGTATTTGACATCATCCCAAGCCATGATTCGTGAATCCAGGAATTTGGTAATCCGTCACTGACACAGCACAGTTTAACGGGGGTTCACTGTCAAGTTAAACTAAGGGATTGGCTTTTTACGGGGATCAGGTGGCTAAATGGCTGAAAGGGTAGACGTGTGGGTATTTGACAAGGTCATGACATGACATAACATGACATGCACTGATTGTTTGTCTGATCAACACAATCACGGCATTTAGTAGCATCTCGCAAAACTGCTAATAATACCTAAACCTTTCTTTTCCCGCAGGTGGGTCATTTCCTCAAGTCCCCGTGTGTAAAGTTCATTGGACAGACGATGTCGTTCGTGACGTTTCTGACAATGATCCTCATCTCCACAGCATCGGAACGCCCATCTACACACAAGAAGATTTCTGCATTCGCAGAAGTACATAGTCAGTACAGGAAATATCTCAACAACAGCCAGGGTTGGCCAGATAATTTTGTGCTGCGTACATTCGAGCCCGAGATCATTCACCTATTGATGACAACATGGATCATAGGTACGATCTGGGAGCGGTTCCCAACCCACTCAGTTTATCCTGTTGTGTGGGTAAATAACCGCTTCGGAGTTACGTAAAAGACGTGTCAATTGTTTTTGTCATTCATAGTAAATAGATATAGTTTTTATTCTGTAACATTTTTTAAATTATTAATTTTTAAAGTCTTAAGATTTAAGTTTAAGTTGGACTGAAAATAAGGGTAGTGCTTGTTTTTGGAGCAGAACTCAAAAACCGTTATATATTTCTAGATGAAACTTCCTGTACGTATGGGTCTACTTGTGAACTGCTGCCTTTTGATGATTTTGGATTTAAAAAAAAATGCTGAACAGCACTATTATTTTCTTCACTTAACTTGGCATGTAGGCAAATAAGGTAGCTATACACTTTGTCAAGTCACTTTGTTGAAAAAAATCATCTGTAGAGAATATATATTTGTAAGTGTGCGTTTTTATTATTCTGTGAAAGTTTTGCATGATAGGTACTGTGATTGTGGCAGAGAAGAGACAGATGTAATTAAATCAGAATATATAAATTCTTTAGATAGCCATGTCATTGCCTTTGGCTGTGTCATGTTGCTGTTTGTTCCCTAACTCTAATCAAGGACATGTTGAACAATGGTATCCAAGGCAATGAGCCATAAGAGGGATATAAGTAGCCAAACACCATTTCCGAACTGCACCAGACCGGAAGGGGGGGGGGGGGGGGGGGGGGGGGACTCTTGTATTTAGATATCTTGTGCATTCTGTCGTAGGTACATATTTGTTATGACGATTCCATTCTATTTGAACGATTCCATTTTGTGTCTAGGTATGCTATGGCAGGAGGTAAAGCAGGTGTACAATGACGGCTTCGTCGAATACTTTGACTCCCTCTACAACTACCTTGACACCGCCGTCCTCACACTCTATGTAATGTCCTTCGGCCTCAGGTTCGTCAGTATGTTCAAGGTGAGACATTATTGTCCTTTCTTCTTGCAATCCTATTTCACTGATGGCGCCACAGTGTTGTGTAAACTCTAGACTACCACAGACGCAGACCCCTGAAGATCCTGGATAGAACTGGCCTTCAGTAACCCATCCGTGCCGTAAAAGGCTACTATGCTTGTCGTAAAAGGCGACCATGCTTGTCGTAAAAGGCGACTATGCTTGTCGTAAAAGGCGACCATGCTTGTCGTAAAAGGCGACCATGCTTGTCGTAAAAGGCTACTATGCTTGTCGTAAAAGGCTACTATGCTTGTCGTAAAAGGCGACTAAGCTTGTCGTAAAAGGCGACCATGCTTGTCGTAAAAGGCTACTATGCTTGTCGTAAGAGGCGGCTTACGGGATCGAGTGGCCAGGCTCGCTGACTTGGTTGATGCATGTCACCGTATCTCTATTGCGTAGATCGATGCTCATGACATCAGTCCCTGGATTGTCTGGACCAGACACGATTATTTACAGACTGCCGTGGTGTAGCTTGAATATTGCTCAGTGCGGCGGTAAACAACAAACAAACCACAGGCTCAGGTCGGGTTTAGATGAAATACTACGCCAAATACTCGGGTGTCCGACCAGGGGAGATAACCCATAGACAGACAGGCAATAATTTTCCCCGGGGCGTCTCACAGTAACGTGTCTTTTTCACGCGAGATTCTGTTTCTTATTTGTTCCTTTCAACGCACGCCGACATGTTACGGAACAGAACAGAATTTTATTCAAGGAAAAGATTTGTCGTCGACATTATTCCATACATATACATATACATATCAGAGCATATGGTCTGGACTGTAACAGGTAAGTTATCGTGTGGAACAATTTATTAATAGTTCACGTTACCGCCAAGTACTTAGCTCCTATATATTTCACATTGTGCCTTTTTGGTTTTCACGTTTACGCTTGTCCATTTCACGTAACCTTGAAATTGACATGACGACGCTTCTGTAAGACGCTGAAGTGTTATAAGTGTATTACGAGTCAGCCTGCTGCTGTGCGGGCTTTCTTAACACAAGAGGGGGTTTCCTGTGATCTGCTTGAAGATTGTCTGTAGGGCCCTTATACTAATAGACTAGAATCGCAGCTAGAATGACCTTTTTACAGAGAGCTTTGAAGTTTGGCAGTGAAAGTACAGCGTCTTAAGGCGGCTATTATGGTTTTGATTAGACGCATCAGGATGTTAACGAGGCGCGCCAAAGTGTTTTTGAATCTCGCGAAAAGGGGAATGTGAATATGATGAAAATGATAAGAATGTGTAAATGGTTGAGCTGATGCTCCAAATTCAGTGTCGGGTATCAAGGAGTATAAACAAAGTATATAATAGGACCATAATGTTTATTCATAAATTCATTCTCTCTGCCCACGCGAAGGAGAAGGCGATCACCCACTGCATTTCATAACTTTTGTTACATGAGACAAAATGTTTGTTTTCCAGGTGCGCTTTTCCTTAAGTTTCTTTACTAAAGAGGAGTCATGGAAAAGCTTATTAGCAGGCAGCGAGGAGGCCCGACTGCAGATGTATTGGTTAATTGCAGGTGAGGCTGACTGACAGGTGTACATATCATATGCCAGTCAAATGTCTTGCAATGTCAGTTAGACCATAATGTAATTGTGATCTTAGATACACACCTTATTTTCTCAAAAGACGCCCGATGACGCATATTTGTTTTGAACTTTATGATGACACAGCGTTTGTGCAGAACATTATCCATCCTTGATATGTGGTCGTTTTTGTACCTATCTTTTTGTCAATTATGATTAATTAATAACGTTACAATTCCCATTTCGCTCAAACAATAGTCCCATGCCTGGCAGGTGATCTCATTTTCATGATGCCGATGGCAGGATATGCCAAAAAATGATAATGAAACAGCAAAGGTCAACCGCCGAACATGGTTCCAAGTATTGTTACACGAATTGATACAGTGTAACCTGAGCAATTCTCCATGATATACGTCGATTTAATGATGAGAACAGCTTAAGTCTGTCGCTCGTTTGATACGTTTGGGATGACTCGTTGTAAGACAATTGCGTGGATCGATGCTCATGATGCCAATCACTAGTTTGTCTAGTCCAGACTGAATTATTTACAGGCCGCCGTCATAAAACTGGAACAGTGCGGCGTTAAACAACAAACAAACAAACAAAACAAACTGGTCGTATTCGTTGAGTTTGATTCAGTGAATATCTTGATTTGGGAGCAGCTGTATGAGCCGGGTTGTCTATTTCAGATCGGTTCTACTGGGACAGCTGGGACCCCTACAACGTCGCCGAGGCCTCGTTCGCCGTCGCCAACGTCATCAGTTTTACGCGTGTTTCCTATGTTCTTCCAGCTAACGAACTGTTCGGGCCTATGCAGATATCTCTAGCCAAAATGATTACAGTAAGCGTTCCCGGTTCATCTGAACTGTATATAGTTGTTTATACATGTTTATATGTTTAAACATATGTGTCATAAACTTGATAGCAAGGAAAGAGCAATCTACAGGAAACACAATATCAAACGAATATATAAATATGGAAACTACTGTTAGATATGTATAAGAAACAGAAAACGGAAAACGGAAAACAGAGAGTTAATTGAACTGAAGATTTATCTGTACAGATATTTGTTGTTTCTTGTCAAATATCTGGTTTATATCATCGAGTTACCTGCAAAGTTGACTTTTACAGGAATGACCCAGTTACCACTGGAACTGTCGACTTTGTAGGCGACGAGATGAAATGAACATGTTATTTGACCAAAAAAGACAAACAATGATTTATTATGTATTTTCTTCGTTTCTTATTTTCATAATCTTACTCTGAAAACCATAGTGTCATTGAGATTTTAGGGCAACTTCCACTAAGTGATGCCTAGCTTTGACGGAGTTGTCCCTCTTAACCAATTGCCACCACAACACTCCGTATTTCATTCACATATTACTGTTTCACAATTTAATACCATGAAGATAATAAGGTTTTCATTTTATTAGCAATACAATTTACCATAAGTATTTATTTAACATCATTTGTTTGCAGGATATTCTGAAGTTCGCCGTCATCTTCCTGGTGTTATTTGTTGCCTTCATGGTGGGTCTCCACAACCTGTACTGGTACTACCCAGCGAGTACCCGGGGGATGGTGGAGATGTCCCAGCATAACATCACCACGACGGCGGAAAAATATTTTGGCATGTGAGTACTAAGGATATGTAACAATCAGTGGTAATGTTCCGTATATTGGTATCGTCGGCATCAGTTATAAAAATACAAATGAATTTATTTATGAAAACTCAATTACCACTGTATGTACAATTTTGTACATAGAGTATATTTATAAGGACCGCATGTTCGCATATTCGCATGTTCGCATGTTCGCATGAATGTTTAAAGATAGTTATTTGTCTGGTCAAGTCTGACGCACAAAGTCTCCCCGTAGACCTGTCGAGTCTGTCATAGTATCGATTTGGATGTCAACTTTTTAAATATGAGAAACACAACGTTTCGGAGTCTATGCTTACTCTTTCATCAGGTGAACATGTGCCAGTGCCATTCTCTCATAGGCATTTTCATGAATGTTTTTAACCATACTCTTGAATTACTTATGATGATTATGATTTATGGATTACGTCTCCGAACAATGTACATTTTCTGATGGCCATTGCAGACCGGACATAACATTTCGGACCGTGTTTTGGTCAATGTTGGGTCGAGGCGAGCACACGTCGGTGGAACTTGGGGACTTCAACAATTACTTCACACAAAACGTCGGCTACTGGATCTTCGGGGCCTACAACGTCGCCATCGTCATTGTTCTCCTCAACATGCTTATTGCCATGATGACACGGTCGTTTGAGATTATTCAGGTATGTACAATATGTAAAACATCTGGCATACGAAGCACATAACTCCCTCATTGCTTCAGCTATGCAACAACCAATAGGCTCGAGTATTCGGATGACATGGTTTAACTACTTTTAGCAATATTCCCGCAATATCACGGCGGTTTCACACAGTGTAATGTTATTGGATATCGACACCGGATTTAGACATGACAAGCAATCGCCTCACGCAACAGGCTAACCCATTGCCCCTGTTTTGAATACTGTCATTTATTTGTACTTTTGCTTGTTCTTCAATTGTGTCATTTTAGAGCAAATAATCTACTTATTGTTTGCAGCAAGAGGTGATTTCTTATGCAAACGTAAGTGCGGTGAGGGTAGCTTAAAGGGAGACAAGTTCCAGGTTCAGGTTTCGATATGGGTACAATGTATGAAGCTCATTTCTGGTGTTCCCTGCCTTCATATTGATGGAATATTGTTAAAAGCGTGAAACCTTTAATAAAAAGGCAAGGCGACGGGGTTTGAAATAGTTGGCAGGGATTGTTCTTAGAATGCTACGCACGCACGTACAAGCACGTACGCACACATGTACATGTTTTAACCATGGACATTTTAGGCTCAAGCTGATACGGAGTGGAAATTCGCCCGCAGCAAGTTATACATGGAGTACATCAAAGACGACTCCACTCTCCCTGTGCCCTTCAACGTCGTCCCCACCCCCAAGTGTGCCTACTACGCCGCCAAGTTCGTCTTCCGACTGTTCTGCTGCAGCAAGGACGAGCCCCCACCGGTCCACCATCCCGGCCGCATCAAGGACATCGAGATGTTCGCCCAAGTCGGGGCGGCTGTGGTAAGCATTTCAATGAGCTGAAGCATTTAAAATTTTAAACATTTTGTTTGATATATGGAGAAACTTCATCATCACGGAGTCCTTCGGCCCCTGGACTGTCAGATCCATCTTCCCGAGGCAAGGGAGTTACTGACTGTAAAAGTACAGTTTCCACCCTAGCCGAACAAAACTGGAATTTCTAGGCTCGATCGTAGAGTCACCAGTGGCTATTTTACGAGTTATGTCCGTTTTATGTCCCTACTGGTGACTAATCAGATTCCACCTCTCATTTCACTTGAATCTGCTTCAAACAAAATGGCTGGGCACAGTCAAGACGATCTGGTCGATAATCAAAGTCGGTTTTGTAATAAAACGTGTGAGTCTTTCTTCGCGAAGTGAATCCAATTTGTGAGCACCTTGATTAAAAAGATGAAAAGATGTGGAAAATATTGGCCGACGCTTAGTAGATGGTACACATGCTTTGCAAATCCTTAAGTCGACTGAAATCTGCACGGCAGTTTACATCCCGGATATCGATTTCGTCACGCGACTTTGATTGGACTCATAATTCCATCCTAGTTCAGCAAGGGTGGAAACTGCACATTTATAGTCAGTTAACTCCCTTGCCTTGGGAAGATGTTTCAGATCATCTCCGATAAAAGAACTATACCAGTAGAAGACCACATTGTTGATATGGATTCGTCTTAAACGATGTTTCGAAATGGAGTTCGAGTTCGAGTGATGTGTATGTTCATGTTTGATGGATCACCTACTTTCGGATCACATTGTATTCACAATTCGGCTTTAGAGTGTTTGTCTACAAACACGAAACATGACACAATGCATTACATTTCGGTTGTAGTAGAATTAAGTCTAAGGTAGTCTTTTGCATGCAAGATGTAAGGTGAGACAGCTGGACGTTGCTCGGGTAGCTTTGACCGAGAGATCACTTGTTGTGCTTGGTCCCAGAAACTATTACACATAATATGTGTGGCCTGTTTACAAATATTGTCATTTCCATCACATTTTGAAACCTGTTTTCCAGGATCCACCCCCAACAGACTGGCAAAATGGCGGCACCATGCGGAATCCGGGTATCCAGCACTTCCGGGAACGTATGGCCACCACGAATGGATTTGTGCGGAATGATTCCGACCCGAATATATTCAGTGAAAATCTGACATATAAGGTGAGACAGCAGTCACTGTGAGCAATGTGATAAATAGGATACTACCGACAAACAACATGGTGTTTCCATCAGAAAGTTAGCATCACAAATGAAGGGTTTATCGTAAGCAATCAATACCAGCGCCCTTTGTCTGTATGTTATACATATCATTAACCAAACAGCGCCAAAAGCTGAGCTCCACATCCAACTGTGTCCCATCTTGTAACGTTAGGGGAATGGTAGAACTCCTAGGTTTGAGGTGTTCACTGCTGCTTTGAACAGGATGTCAGCAAGTTCTCGGCCTGTAAGGTGGAAAGAATACCCTAACGCAGGTTATGATGCCAGACATTAATCATCATCGGATGGATAAATTGAGTATACAAAACGTATTTCGTTTTACTGTAACATTAAAGAATACTTCAACACACGACTCGGAATGCCGTTCACCCGTGCATCTCTTTCAGGCGGGACCCGTGAAGATCCGGGTTAGAATAGGTCTTCATTCAGCAACCCATGCTTGTCGCAAGAGGCGACTAACGGGATCGGGTGGTCAGGTTAGCTGACGTGGATGATGCATGTCATCGTTTCCCAATTGCATGGATCGATGCTCATGATATAAATCCCTGGATTGTCTGGTCCAGGTTCGATTTACAGACTGCCGTCATATAGGTCGAATATTGCTGAGTGCGGCGTTAAACAACAAAAACCAACAAAAAACTTTTAGACGCATAGGAATACTCTTTGATACAACGCGCCGTGTACATTATGGCAGTACTATGGCGGCGTTTCAGCATGATGTAGGGGGAGAGTCCAACGTGATTCAGGTCTTACTGAGGTAAAATCCACTAGCACGCGCATAGTGCTCACATACCAAGGATCACAATCGTTGCAAATCTAGAATTTGAACCCACGATCAGTGGACCCTGACAATGCTAGGGGAGGCAACTCTTACGTCCAATAAGGCTGGTACCAAAATGTGCCCCATGACGCATCCCTACACTCACGTGCTACTTACATTGCTTTCGGGGGTTGATGACAAACTGACGACGTCACCCATCAAAAAAATGATAAATTGAATACTCTCGTTCGTTTCAAGTACGGAATCTAATATTTAAACACACAGCTAACCATGTTGTTAATGTTTCAGCGTATGATGAAGAGAATTGTCAAGCGTTACATCTTCGATACTCAGCGCGAAACGGACAGTGCGGAAGGTACATGTAGGCATTGGTTTAACATTCTCTTCGTAGTTTGTAACATGTCTGTCTATCTCTTCATCACTGTCCAATACCATGAGTCCAAGGAGATAGTTTTCATCTTAACAGCTAGTTATTTATTTTTCTGATATTTTGAAATATGACACATTCAGATATCAATCCCGAAATATTACAAAATACAAACTTCCTGAGACATTATATTTTCATTATTTCTAAGAGTTTTTCTTGCAGAAATTTCGACATTTTAAACTTTTCGAAATCCCAAGTTATGATAACGCTTTCAGCAATACCAAGAAAGATTCAATATTATTTCAAACTTTCTGTGAGGCCTCCCAGGTAACTGATGTGACTGTAGTTCGAATGTGGTACGTCATGTGTTTGTTGTCTCTGTTCACGTGCATCTTTTGTGAGAGAATGGTGTAGCAGCTGTAATAGTGTTTGAAGGACCGACAGATCTGTTGTAGTGATCACATTTAAACATTAACAGGGTATGTCAATATCATTCCAGATAATTTCTAACAGTAAACCCTTTATTAAAGACATATTCATAATTCACATATTTCGCAAAAAATAATAATATTTTTCGCACAATTTCTAATTTAAATATTATATTTGATAAAAAGTCATTTTAAACATGATGAAATAGTGAGCAAATGTGAATGACATACTATTCATAGCTTTAATCCTTTAAAAAGCAGTATAATCTTTTATTAATATGTTTTAATCGACATATATATATTTTTTCAGGTGACTTTGATGAACTGAAGCAAGATATATCTAGTTTCCGCTATGAGATGTTAAACCATCTGTCTGTCCGAAATCGGGAGTCGACCATCACCTCCCAAGCATTTGACAAGTTGAATGACAAGATCGATCGACTCGGGCAGCAACAGGAAGTACTACTGCGCCAAATTCTTAGAACAACTTCGGTTGACTCGAGCTTGAGCTTGGACATTGACTCAGGAGGTGACCGAGCTAAGTTGTCGAACCAGGTGTCTCCCGAGAGCGCAAACTGTGATTGCCCGGATGACCACCCAGAAGGGGCAACGGAGAGGGTATTACGCAAGCGGTCTGCGAGACTGAGGCGAATCCCCGAGGAGTCCAAGGAAGCGAAGAGTGATAAAGCCAAATCGGAACGTGTCAGGTTCTCCAGAAACAATGACGGAGGGACAGTCACTGACAGTGAATTCCCCCATCCTTTGGCTGATGACGTTCCACTTTCACAAATGGATGCCACGTCAGAAAATGATGTAGAATCGCCATCTGAAGATATGTCCGACACAGACACCAGAACGAGGCAGTTACCACATGACATGTCAAATGTTGAAGTGCAGGTGACGTTCTCACGTGCACCAATCGCCACAGAGGATGATGATGATGACGATCGTCTTTGAGGTGTTTAATAATCAATAGATAAAGTCAAAACCGAAACGAAATAAATGATAAAGTGCCTGAATATGCCAAAAGAACAGATGATATGCAACTATGATTTGTGATTTATGATTTATATTTTTTTCTAGATTATGAAATTAATAATTTGTTCCAAATTAAGAAAATGATTTCATTTATAGCACGGTTGTTAAGGCTGAGTTTCTTCACCCAACGTATTTTTGTCTGTTATAGGAAGTTTAGGAGAATATGAAGTTTGACAGTTATGAACGAGGATATGAGTGTGCAAGATAACAATTCTCTAAACACTCGTCACCCACAGCTGTGATGATTCTGTATGATACGAAGTTTTGTTGTGATTAATATATATGGTTCGTTGTGAACCAGAAATAAAAGTTGTTGAATATTGGCTATGGTCATTTATTTTATCTGATTGAAGTCTGGATTGAAGAAATTGGTGGCAAGATATATATAATGATAACTCTTGAAGATATTGATGCCGAACATTGGATTCTAACGCATGTCCAGCGGATCCTGGGACCGCGAAGGAACGTAACTCTGCTAATAGGACGCAAATGTTAGTAAACATACTGACAAAATGTTGTTTAACGTCACCATGTCACGGCCACCTGTAAAGATTAGGGTCCAAACAAGACCAAATAGAATGAATCAAACCACACATGAACCCCACGCCAGACTGATTTCAGTCACAATGAAGTAGAGCATAGAGGTACTGAAGACCTGTTTTATCCCCGGAATATCTACGTTTTTATCATTTATGTTGCACTGTGACTACACTCTGCTTTGACAGAAGTTCACTGAGTCTAGTACAACTGCCAATTTACTTCTGACAGTTCCAACATCTTCATATAGAGCTAATTTCTGCTATATTGTTGCTCAGTGTCATATACACGCTCCAACGTGTCTTTGACAACCAGGGGCGGGGTGGTATCCCAGTGGCGAAAGCGTTTGCTCGTCACACCATATACCCGGGTTCGATTCCATACATGTTCTGTGTGAAGTCTGTTTTTAATAATGCTAGACAATTGCAAAAAGCGGCGTAACACTACATTAGCTTTTTTATCATCAGGCAGTTCTGTAGGGTGAGTGAAAATGATCTTACGCCCCTTTCAGCAATATTGCAACAGTATCCCATGAAGAATGTGTCTTCAACCATTCAAACCATGTGTAAAATCTAACCCAGATTCTCGCGTACCGAGCCACCACATTAACTACAAGGCTACCTCCCTCACCTCAAGTCTAAAGAAGCATGAAACGAGTGCTCCCCAACGTGGTTCGATGCTGAATAATGTGGGAAGCTTAATCCAGGTGTTCCCGCCATGATCACACGAGAGTATTGCTAAAATCGGCATAAAACTATTCTCATTACCTGATATACATATATATATGACTCAATCACCCATGAATGTGAATATGTATAAAGCGTTTGCAGTTGGAGATTGTGGGGCATTTGAAGACTATTAGAACAGTAGTCTCAAAGCCACTAATGTCCGGACAATTTGTTGTGTCACTTCAGAAACAATTAAACATCGCTTGCCATCACTTTTACAAAAAAAAGCCAGTTGAGTAAGATTTAGGTCTGCTACTGACCAAGGGTGATTAGAAATTTATAAGGTTTTTTTGTCCGGACCATAATTGTATTGCCTGGTTTCTGCTAATGTTCAAAGCAAACGCACTCTTAAATATCAGTCACGCCGAAGTTCGATTCCCCACATGGTTACAATGTGCAAATGTCTAGTGTCCGAGAGTGAAGATGCCAGCTGAAGACGACCGTGTATCAAGGACATATAGTTATAGTTATATTAGTTTAGCGTAAAGGTATTAATTGTACGCAATTACTGCATAAATATCGATGACGCACACAGTGTTATTTATCAGAAATAACTTTCTACAATACCACGTCTGTCACATTTCTTTTGAGAGCAACTGTAAATCGTGAGATTAGGGCCATGGGTGGCTCAGTTGTCTAAAGCCGTATGAAGAGTTGCGTTCCTTAGACGTGCCTGGAACCTATGGTCGTGGGCTCGAATCCCAGTTTCGATCTGATGATGTTACTTGGTTTGTCAGCATCATACTCATGCTTGTGGATTTAGCCAAAGTGGTAAATAGGTTTAAGACTTGCATAACTTTTCTCGCACATCAGCGACTGAACGCAAACACAAACAAACACAACCTCTAAAACATAAAGGAGGCGTAATATAGCATCTACATCGTGTTGTTGTTTCACGATACATATATAACTAGTATAACTATTTACATGTTCATTGCAAACAACATATATTTGACAAACAGTAGTCATAATCTGGCAACAACAATACCAATTTCGTACGATTAGAAATAAGACAAAGATTGGTCAGCCATGTCCCCCGTGTAAACACTTTTTGGGTCCTACTCATTCTTCAAACAAGTTGGTGATTACGGAACTGAGATAGTCACTGTAGATTCTGAAAGATCCGGAACAGGGTGAGTGAATTGCAGTTTGACAGCAGCATTTTGAAAAAGGTAGTTCAAAGCAGCATAAAACCAATCTCCCTCACTAGCTCTGTCTTGGGGCAACTGAACGGTGGACAAGTATTTTCAGAAACATTAACTTATAAGCTCTTCGAAAGTCATTCCGGAATATCCCATAAATTAGAGGGTTAACTGCACTGGACAGGTAACCTGGTACACTTGTCAGATTGGCATAGCCTGGTAACGCATTATCTGTTTCCACTACAGTTATATATAGTTTCGTTGTGACGAATGGTGTCATGCATATGAAGTAAGCAACCACGACAACCAGCAGACTTTTGATAGATAGCCTTGGAATTGGTGTCAGCCTCTTTTTTACTCAATGCGATATGTGCAGGAACTACTTGTTGCTGTTTCTTCATGGTAGTGAGGATGTGACTAGCACTCGAACAGGATAATACCAGGGAGCAGAAAGCATGCAGCATACGCAATCACGACAGCAATGAGAAGTTTCCCTCGTTCACGGTGCCAGGGTTTAGAACATATTGCTTCCCAGTAATCCAAATGTACCAAGCAGGTTACAGTGGCACTGAAGAAAGTGTAATGCCTTGGATTGCAATGTAGCGGTAGATACCTATACAACAGAGGTTTAACATCGACACGGCGATGAGGCAGAAGTTAGCGTAACATACAACTTCGCACCATCCTTCTGCGAATGGCCATCCGTCTGCAGCCACAGTCCCGAGTGCAGCCGTCATCACTATGGAGGCCGAGCTGAGGTCGGCGACACTGAGGCTTATGATGAACATGTTGGACAGGTCTTCCCGAAGGTGGTTGTTGGTGTAGACGGCAACTATGACGGCAATGTTGCCAATGATGGAAAAAGTATGATAACTAACAGCTGTATAGAATAATTCCGACCAGGCCTCTCCATTCTTGTGGTCCAGAGCATCCAGGCTTGAGTTTTCCATAGTTTTGATTGGTCGAAGGAATGTTAGTTGAATGTCCCGATCTCGCAACTATGGCGTTGTGTGAACACAACACAGAAGCTTATTTTAGTCCTGATTTGTTGTGTTTCTGTGGTTCTCACTGAAAAGAACGAAATGTGTTTCTTAGCACCATTTTATCATACAAAGGCTTGATTATTGGAGAGAGAAATTTGGAGAATGAACGTGATATTCCGTCGTATTGTATGGACAGCCTATGTGTTGATGGCCACTAGATCAGGGGACATACTAGAGGTGACATTAACATACCTGATACGCGCTTGTTCGATAATATTAACAACGCCTCATGCCTGATAGATCCTGAACGCCCGAAACATTACGTCACCTCTTGTGTGCGTAAGAAATGACAATAGCCACAATACGTCGATTTGTATTATACAATGCTTGTTACGTACAGCATATGTCCACAACTACAACTGTTATTTCGGTCAAATGAGCAGTGTACATTCAATTTGCTTTCTCAGCTCCCTGGGGGACATACAGGTAAAAACTTCTGCTTTGGATTCGCTTCAATTGTACATTTGGTTATTTTTTGTTTGTGGTACTAGCAACACTGTTTCGTGTTACACAATACATTTCATCGAAAAACCTCCCAGATGTCATGCATGTAAATATTTCTCAGGTTGGTTTTGTCCGGTTGTTTCTTTTGGCATTTTGACAGGGTATGAAACAAGCAGGTCTAGTTATCTAGTCACTAGAAAAATGTTCTCGATAATCCGGTTTCTACTTCTATATAATCGTGTACATTAAACACCCGTTTTTCCGGCCTCTAATCGTCGATACGTCCACATAAACCATAATGCATGTCCTCGTTGTTGAAGGCATTGTAATTTTGACAAAACAATTATGTCATCGTTTAATACGACTTTAATTTAAAGTGTTTTTACATATATTTTTCGCTGCTTGTATGATGTATATTTAAAACTTAAACAGCATACTTAAAATTGTTAACATTGCAAACAAAATAGGCGGCTTTTGTGCGCAAAACATCGCTATTAATAATGATTTAGAAAGCACATTAGATGCCAAATAACAGTTCTCACGTCATATATTTTCTTTGGTCCGGGCAATATTAGATTATTTACTGGCCGCCGTCATAACTGCTGCCGGCCAAAAGAAAGTATACATCCGTGTTTGATGGTGGCTACAAATAAAACAAACACGACATGGTTATTCAATGATGATGTATTCGATACATGCATCACAGCGTTATGGACCTTAAGTTTGCTGAGTTACGGCGACTGTTTTCAGCATAGTAACGATTTGATAATGTTTGATTTGTTTTGATCCAATTCAATATATGGGGGTGACTATGGACAGTTTAGCTGGGCTATTCCTGAGTACGGCGTCCAACAAGACACGCACGCACACTAATTATCTTAATTAAACGTTCCTGGTATTTATCACCACGTTTGATAAATAGTTACTGTGATTGTATAGCTCCATATCCGACAATAATATCCGCACTATTTAGGTTTCTGAAAAGCCAATGCTTTAACAAATATTTTATGCGCCTTCATAAAGTTTCAGTTCTCTGGGCCTTGTGGTTGTTTGGAAGAATTTTCTTTAAACACAGTAGATTTTTTTTATTGTACTGGCATTATGTTCATATTCATCATATCAAATTTTCCCTGTATGAAGATTTTTCAAGATTTTTTCGATCATGATTGGTTTATTTTCACTTTTTGTTGTTACACGTTAACATTTATATCCCTGTAATCTAGCCAAATGTGTTTGAGCCCGGGACAATCTCCTACTTATTTAGATTTAGTTGACGCTGACCTGGCGTCACGTGGTGTTTCCTGGATACCACTGCACACTCACCGATGAAGTGACAATCTCCCTAGTACAGTAAACATCACTATGGGATCAATAAATCAATAAAAAATGATCAGTTATTAAACTTTTATAGAGAATTAGATCGGAGGTA